GCTCCAGTCCAGTCCGTTCCTTCTGGCAGTCTGATGACCTTGGGCCTGTCCCTGTGCTCAGGCGGTGCCGCAGTCAGGGTCCCAGCTAGTGCGTCATGTTGGGGAGCGGGGTTTGATGAAGCGCTCGCTTTCGTTTTCTGCAAAGCCAAGCCCACTTGTTTCCATTTACTCGACAGGAAGTTTAGGGGGCACAGGTACTCCTGCGACTGCAAGCTGCCCAGACCATGCAGATCCTGTGCTTGGGTGAGTCCTCCTCATTAGACGTTTATTCACCTGCCTGCGCTTTCTTTCTCTCGTCTTTGGCAGCACCATGCCAAGAGGGTGTAGAGTGAGCTCCCAACAGGCTGTGTGGCCCAGCAAGGGGAGAGACTGACAGTGCATCTGATCAGTACAATGTGAAATAGAATTCCCTGTGAGGACGTGAATTCAGTTGCTTATTTTTATGTTCCGGGAGAATGTTATTACTTGTCTGCGTAGCTGTAACTTGGAAGGGAGTGAAATTTATTCTTAAAACCAAATTAAGTCTTCGCCTCTCCTCTAATAGTGTCCTCTGTTATGACTCTTTGCATCCTGTCGGTGCCAATAATACGCTACAGACATGGGGAGACACAGCCTCTGCCCCAAGTGTCTCTGAAAGAAAGACGCAAGATGATTTTGTGGTTAAGAAGATTTAAGTTCTGTTCCTGGCTGTTCAACAGACTCAATTTGAGACCTCGGGCAAGTTGCTTAATCTCACCTAGGCTCGGTATCCCCAACTGGAAAATGGGGATAATATTTTTCTAGCTCCAGGGAGGTTGTAAGATGAATACATTAACGTTTGTGATGTATTCAGGGCTCTACACTATGAAACGCTTAGTGCGAGGTCTGTGTGGCCTGTTAGTGCCTGACAGGCTGTGCTGTAGATTTGCACCCTGGCCTGCCATTTGCTCAGGTGCATCTACATTTGGAGCTGCAGTGATAGTTCTCAACTCAAGGAAACATACCTATGCTTGCTCTGATGGAGCTTGCATACTAAAAATAGAGTGTTGCTGAAGCTGCGTGACTGGCAGGAAGGGCTGGCGGCCCTGAGTGAGATCCCTCCAGGACACACGGTGCATATTCTGAGTAGCTAGCTCCACTCACCGTGTGTTCCGCTCTGGCTACACTCTTGTTTAAGTACACTAACTCACTTTGAGCTAGCCTAGGGCTGGCTCCATGAACTGGGGAATTTACACTTCTAGCTCAAAGCATAGACTCAGTCTCCATGTAAACAAGACGCACGATGCAATTCCTTGCTCAGCCACAGACTTCCTGTGTGATGTGGAGCAGGTCACAGTCTCTGTGCTTTAATTGCCTGAAGTTTCTTTCAAATAAACTCATGGCATCTCAGAGAAACAGCAGTCACTTTTCTGCAGCTCCTCTGAAAGCTCAGCAAAAGGACTCAGGGACAAGGTGTCGCACAGAGCTGGAGAAGGTGTACTGGACCCTTTGAGCACCAGTAAGTGCAGGAGGTATATAAGTAGGCAGGCATAGAACTAACAAGAAATCCTCCCAAGGTAACCTCGGTTCCAGCCCCAGTGGAAACAGCTCCTGTTATAAGGAATTCAGAAGCGGATTTATCAGTGGCTTTTCCTGGATATAAGCAGCGAGGAGTCCTGTGGCACCTTATAGACATCTGACGAAGTGGGTCTTTGCCCACGAAAGCTTATGCTCCTACACTTCAGTTAGTCTATAAGGCGCCACAGGACTCCTCGCCGCTTTTGCAGATTCAGACTAACACTGCTACCCCTCTGATACCTGGAGATCA